ACTTGTATAGTATATAGGACATGATAAGTTCACAACTTAAATAAAAAAAGGAATTATTTTTAGTTAAAGAGGTCATACTGTCACTCGCCTTCTTGATTACTCCGTTGCTGAGTACAAGGACTTTTAACATTAGTTTATAAATTATGGTAGTAATAGTTACTTAAAGAATATAAAAAAAACGTATAGTGAATATGTTACTCAAGTTTGTTAGTAAAACTTAGCGAAAAAGAGTATAAGTATTTTTTTTTACATCGTTTGGCTTTGTAGAAACCTGAGTTTTTCAATGACTCCTTTTACCTATTTATCATTTGTTTTATATCCACCTCAACTACTAAAGATCATAGGCCAATAACCTAGTTGTTAAAGCTTGATAAATTCAATGTTTGGGTTAGACTCATACAAACGTAATATTTTAATTATAACTCCTAACTTATATCTACAAGCTTTAAAATTGTGTCTATTAATGATTCAGAGCTAGCGTATCCAAAATAGCCATACTTTTATACACACATTGCCTTAAACTCAAATTTAGTCAAACCCCCCGCCTCGTGGGCTTTAGTGCTGCAAAATTAGTCTGAAGATAAGTCTAACATACATCTATGACATGTTTTATAAGAATATACAGGGTAATCCAACTAACGTAAGACACTCATTTTCTCGGAAAATATGAATATTTTTTTTTTCTATACTTTTAGGTACACATTTTACTACATTTTTCAATATTTAGAATATTTTGGTTTTTTAAATGGGAACGTATGTTTTTACTTTCATAAATCTGTAGACAAAATTGTTCAAAAAAATTTTAGCGTTTGAATTTCTAATTTTCATTAATCGGATTTCTACTTATTACGTTGTAAAGATTTAAAATTTTGATTCATATTTATTTGGGATTTCAAAACAGGTAGCATATTAAACACTGTTAAATAATATCATCGACCCCGTCGTTTGTCGATAAAACCGATAATCAGATAATAGTAATACTTCTTACTTTTTTTTTTTATAATATATGGAGATGCGGTTCTTTACCTACTGTCGGAAACCGCGACACCGTATACATATCTGGTCAATTGTTCACATATCTTATCAGTAGACAACACTTACGACGAAATTTTTTTCTTACCTAACCTACCCATATTTTCACGGTATGGTTATGATATATTATCATGCCCAAAAAAAGTGCGTGCAACCGGCTGCCGGCAACGACACATGCGTTGTGTATTTAGAACCCGGAAATGTCCTATACTCCTATGCCGTTTATTTTGTTAATACATTTAACTATTTAAGTAGTGTCAATTGTGTTTATTTATTCCCTAATTGTGACAACATTTTATATTGCTCTACAATGTACGATGAAAACGAATAAACATAATGATTTCATAAGCAAAAACTTGTTTCTACTAGTAATAGTAAACATTTTGTAAGTATATTCAGTTTTCGAAAAAAACAAAAATAAAACTATACAAAAGTGTTAAAAAAAAAAAAAAACTTTATAAAACGTATTAATATGTAACTTAAGTTGAAAGATCCAAATATCTGTTTGGAACATGAAAATATGAGTCGGTCTAACACGTACTTTAGGTACATTCGATATGAATGTATACATAATAATATGTACTGTATTTTTTATACCATGTGTATTATTTTGTGCCTAACATTTTATAAAATATAGTATCGTAGTAGATTGTCTGAACAGCTATGGCCTATGCATCATAAAAAAAACAACTAAAAAATACTGAATATTTTACTTTAAAATATAGAAACATTAAAAACAAAGCGTTAAGCTAATAAAAAAAAAACAAAATGTGGTGTTTTGATTATTCCCGCCTTGATAAGGTCGGGGTATGGTGACAAAGGAGAACTTACAGTCATTAAGTGTTGTAACTAATAATGACGAAATGACTTTCAAATAAACCTTTTTGTGCGAATCTGTAGACAGTGAAGCATTTAGCGCGGGTGTAAGTGGGCACTTACAACGGGGGACGAGACTTCAAGGGGCACTTTTTCTTTGCAACTTCTTATTAGTTTATTACCGTTTAGTACGGACTGAAAACATTACACTCTTACATCCCTTGCCTTAAGATGATTGGTTATAATTAGTAAAAATTACTTATTGAATCCATTTTGTTTTTCATATATTAACAAAGACTTTAAATATATTTCAACCTAAAAAATTGAATCTGCAAATGTTTTTTTTAACAGTCAATATAGCTTATAGAGAAAAGACCTTCGATAAATAGCTTTTGTGGAGTAACCTACTGACAATACTCTAGGCTTTGAGGAACATTTATAATTATTTCATCATATAATCATTTAAGCATTTTTTTTCAAATGTAATTGTTTTGAATTCAATAAGAATACCTAAAAACGGGGTTCGTTCATTTATACTTCATACTTTATAAATTTGGTTCCAATAACAAAATGTGTTGAAATAATATTGTAAATTCCAATGACGCATTTTCAAAAAAATAATATTTACGTTTGCACAATATGTGGTATTAAAAAAAACATTTTTTCTACTGTGAGCCGTTCAAACAACTCGTATTTTGCATAGTTCACCATATTTCGATTTTACACGATAACGTTTAAAGTTTAATAAAAGTACAACGAAAAACCAAAAGACTTTTTTATCCGATAAGTTGTAACTTAGTTTAACAACCTATTCGAATTGGTTGGTATCGCAAGCGTGAAATCATTTTAAGTAAGTTATACAATCAAACATGAGTAAAACATTCCCTATAATTTTATTTTTTATTTTTTAAGTAATTATTAATACAATAATTTATAAACTAATATTTTATAAAATGTTTAATAAAAACCAAAGGCTATAAGACAGCATACTAATAATTATCAATGGGCCGAACATTTTTCGGGGATAAATTCACATTAAAATATTTAAATTTTAATAATAAATGTTTTTGAAAAGTTGTCTTTCTTTTTTAAAAGTGTTATTACTATTTTTTGAGTTACTCGCTTAAAATAATAAAATCTTTTTTTTTAATTAAATAATAACTGAGTTCAAAAAAGGAAATTAATTTTTTTTAAAAAAATGTTGATAATTGTTTTCATTATTATTAGAAAATAATGTAAAAAAGTCAATAATTATTACTGTCAAACCTCAGTATGACATTCACTATAAAAAATGTTTTAGTTACAATTATTATTACCATAATTTAAAATTTACTGTTTTGATAAAATTATATAATAATAACCAATGTCCTTATAATAGTGTACTAACAATTATTAATGGACCAAATTTTTTTCTGGCAAAATTCAAATTTAAAAAAGAAATGTCTTAATAAATACATTTTTTATAAGTTACTCGCTTAAACTAATAAAATCTTTTTTTTCTAAAATAAAACAATAACTGGGTCCTATAAATTTGGTTTAAACAATTTATTTTTAAGTTTGAACAACTTTTTTTATAGGGTAATATTAAAACGTCACTAGTAAATTGCCCTTGTTGTTCTCATTATTTAAGTTAATCTCAATTCCTCATTAATTTCTTAAACGACATTTTTTCTTTGGTTAATGGTTAAAATTTGAATGTAATAGTTATAAATGTTTACGAAAGGACAATTATATAGAATAATATTGTATATTCAATATACAAAATAGATATTCGCTGTAATGATTGGGGCGTTGGGGTTCTACGGTTGTGCAAAACATTAGTTCAAACATTTGAATAGTGGCCCAAACAAACGACATAACCAAAAACCTTACAGAGCAGCTGTCATATTGGAAAACTTGTTTTAGATAAAAAACAATAATAAAACTATACAAACATGTTGGGAAAACACTTTTATAAAACGTAATTAAGTGTATCGAGAGCATTTGTGTAAGCAGATGATCTTACTTACATATTTGTCGTATGATCCAAGTATCTGTTTGAAATATGAAAACATGAATTGCTGGAATACATACTATGTGTACGTTCTCTATGAATGTATACAAAATAATTTTTCTTAAATTTTTGCATTATTCATTTTATAATATACGATGTGTATCAATTTGTGCGTAACATTTTGTAGAACATAATATCGTAAACGATTATTTAAGGAGCTATGGCCTATGCATCATAAAAAAATTTGAAAATCGACAAAAAAATACTGAATACTATACTTTAAAATGTATAAACATTTTAATCTAATATTACATAAAACCAAATATTTATTAATTAATTAGCATTAAGTTATGAGGCTACTGTGTTTTGTAAATGTTGTGTTTTAGACTTACTTACATAGAAATTAATTTAGAATTCAAAATCATTAAAAATTTAGTGTTTTTATTAGTCATTAAGGATCATAGTTGTCAAATAAATAAATAATCCATTGGCAACTGTAACTGTAAGTTAAATGTATTCTATTTTCTTCAGAAAAAAATGGAACATTTTTGTGTTTTGATGACATTAGTCTTTGGATATGTTTTGGCATTACACGAAAGTACGTATCACGAATTTCTAAAATACTAGAGGTTTAAATCTAAAGTGATAGCAATCCAAAAATACAGATTTTTAAATAAATCCTTTTAAGCCATTTACTCTTAAGTATGCTGTGTATCTAAGTAAAGTAATAAAAAAAACCGCTTAATTTTGACTCTATGTTGCATTTGGATTTTGAATTACGGATTTTATGATTTTAACAAATCCAAATTCAGAAAGAAATATTTCTTATTGATGTTGTGTTTTATTTTTACATTTTCTTCGCAAATATTTAATATGGGTACACAGATTTATATTTTATTAATATTTAATAATTGTTTAAAACTCATGCCAGCTTTAAGTAACTAGCACTATTAGTGAAAATCCCATTTTCCGGATTCAATCAATAGTTAAAATTAACTTTTTTTAAATTTATTTTAACTTCTGTTTAGAAGACTTTAGACAGTTCGTATACCATACAAGTCAGTATAACCAATAATTATTTATCTGTTAAATATATGTACAATATGTCAATTAAGTTTTACCTATATTTTTACATCTTTTGTTTGCTTTTTAATCATAGACCATATGCTCAATCGTTTAAATGAAGGTAAAATATTTAATACATTTATAAACAATGTATTTTTACGTTTTCTCTGACAATTGAATGTTGATTCAACAAAAAAGATTGAAATGAAAATTCTGCTGTTTAAAATGTTTCAAAGGGTTGATTTTTTTGCTTATTTCACCTTTGCTTTTAGTTTTTGTTACTTAAAAAGTAATTTAAGGTACATTATTACAATCGCGTCAATACAATCATTGGAACATTATTTTAAAATAACTTCTAGCACTTTTATTAAATACCTTACTAAATAAATATACACAATTAAAAAACATATTTTTTCTAGAACATTTGCGCCATTTAATCACATTTTACATATTGGATGATATGCATATTGGTAAGCATATAAATTGTATAATAACAGCTATATTTTAAAATATTGAAGTTTCAAGTTTAGGGCAGGAGGAAAAGTGGAGTGTAGTATTATTTTTATCTGCGCCCGTTTTCCAACCACACTTACCCTCCTACCATATCTTTTAAACACTTGTAACTTTAATCGACCAGTCAAAATTGTTTGTACATTATTATAAATTAAAAATTTAATGGAATTTATGCGTTACCATTTAAGTTAAAAAAGTTACTATCACAAAAACTAAGTTGGGAGGATGGTAAAAACAAAAAAAAATTTAGTAAAAAATTACTGAGTAAAGAAAAAATTATAATTTATTGTAAACTAAGTGACATATTGAGTGGTTAACGATAAGTTGATCACCTTTTCTATAATTTTATTTTGTAAGATTACCCATGGCAGCCAACGTGTCAATTTTTCTATTATATTGATTTTTGTAAAAATTATTTTTCAAACATAAACCCGGAAATTCTTAGTTGTAAATTTAGCAGACACATCGTTTAATAGTGTTGCTCACTTTTCAAGACATTAAAAGATGCTATTCATATTTACTCAATGACTTATTATGAACAGCCAATCTCGTTTAATGATAAATTTTTATTCATTTCAGAGGCGGTGATTTCACTTTTGGCCGCGCCAAGTATTAAGACTCAGATAATATAAATTATATTCTTTTTTCAATTTATTTGTAACGAATAAGACCTATTTTTACTTTTAATAATCATATACGTTAATATTTCAGCGTTGGTTTTCAAGGATGGGAAAGGTGGGAATTATCCAGATGGTAAATATTTAATGTATAGTCAAAAACATAATATTACAGGGTGAATTAAAATTTGTGCTCTTACATTTATATCTGTGTGCGAAATAATTATGAAGTACAGTTGTTTATATCAAATTATTATTAAATTAAGTTAAAGGTATAAAATATCTATGTAATCATAATAGCAGGAATCAATATTCTTCAATGTTACTGAGTAAAAAACTTTTAAAATTGATTATGTTTTAAATTTCAGATCTGGAAACTAAAGAGAGACATATACTAGACCGTTTGCATTATCATGGTAAAAATGTGATTCGAATAAATTATAAAACCAACAAACGTTAGATTGGTAAAAAACCAGCTAGGTCTCCTGCAATTATTTAGAATTATATACTCTAAGGATAGTCTGTCGCCCATGCCCCTCTCCACAATTTAAACGCCTTTTTATAATTGTTAAATTTTAATTAAATGTTATTTATTTTAGCTAATCACGCACCTGGTGAAGATAATAGAAGTAATATATACAAATTAACTTAAAATAAACTTTTTTCTATTTTCGTCTACATCAATGGTTCTGTGTACGATTTATCATTTATACACACAAAGTGTCGGTCTACGGTTATCTTATAGATCCAAATGCACAATTTGATTAACTATATTTCAAACTAAAATATCTTCTCATCGATACTCAAACTGTCAAAAAATAAATTAAACATTTCCGAATGTCTCATCATTATTTACACGTTATTATGTTTTATAATCGCAGTCACGGATTACAATACATTGGATGGAATGGGGATAGACAGAAGAAATAGAATTAAGGGATCTGTATTATTTTTACTCCGGTCAATCGAAGGTATGTTTAACCCAGATAGTGACGATAAGTAAAATATTATGATTCAAGCAAAAAAGCGAGCTTCAGTGTGTTCAGAATTGTGAAACTACATTTGTCTGGTACTAATTGTTAATTTGTATCAGTACTGAAACCTTGTAATAAAAAAAATAAACACGTCAAATGTCATATTATTGTAAGATCTGTATAGGTTAAAAAGATGAAGACTATGCAGTTTTTCACACTTTGTAATAAAAATATATATTTTTATTCAAATTGGTCACAATGTCGCCTCGCCTCCTTGCTTAATTAGTCGTCGTGAACATGACAATATATTACGATGTTACAGCTCTATATAATTTAAAAAATTATGTTTTTAAAGATCTATCCAATCATTTTGATGTTGAGCAGAAATGTCGTTTAGTAGCGTTGTTCGTAAATGTAGAAGATCCAAGCATACTCATATTTCATAGCTATTCCAACCCATTCAAAGGTCACGATTACTGTCGTCTTAAACATTATATATCTGACGACAAGTATCAGGTACGGCACACTGAGTACAGAATGTGGGAGGATGGCTACTATGAAGTAATTGACCATCATACACAAGGGCGCAAACTCACCCCGAGACTGAAGCCCGGACAAAAAAATGGCTGCGCAATTAGCTAAAGAGACCTTGCAGATATACACATTTCTTAAAATTTCTTTAACATGCTATATAAAATTTACATAATATATTATCTTGGAACCATTTAAAATAAGTTTAATTTTTGTTTTATTTGAGTATCAGAGTACAGTTTAAGAGACTATGCATCACCATTTATTGCGATAGTAGTCAGTAACAACTTCACCATAAGGTGAAAACATACGTTAAACGTCTCAAACCCAATTGTGTAACTCTAGTTGTGAAATAATTTCAAACAATTTATTACCCTACTAAGTATAATGTACTGTCATACTTACCTAGTAAAGAATACTTTAAATTAAGTTTTCAAAAAACATTTGAATTATTTATAATATTTGTTAGACATTGATCGTGGCACAATTTTCAACTTATTTTTAATTATTTATTTATTTAAACTAAAATACATGCAATTAATATTTTTTTTTAAACTGAAATGATTGATCAACAAAAACAAGTTCAATACTGTACAACGTTCCTTGAAGAAGTTATGAAAAAAATCAAATACTTTTTCTAATCCCTAATCGGATTATTCCTAGGATAAGTACATCATAATACTTGTATAGTATATAGGACATGATAAGTTCACAACTTAAATAAAAAAAAGGAATTATTTTTAGTTGAAGTGGTCATACTGTCACTCGCCTTGTTGATTACTCGGTTGCTGAGTACAAGGACTTATAACATTAGTTTAAAAATTATGGTTGTAATAGTTACTTAAACAATATAAAAAAAAACGTATAGTGAATATCTTACTCAAGTTTGATAGTAAAACTTAGCGAAAAAGAGTATAAGCATTTTTTTTTACATCGTTTAGCTTTGTAGAAACCTGAGTTATTCAATGACTCCTTTTACCTATTTATCATCTGTTTTATATCCACCTCAACTACTAAAGATCATAGGCCAATAACCTAGTTGTTAAAGCCTGATAAATTCATTGTTAGGTTTAGACTCATACAAAAGTACTATTTTAATTATATCTTCTAACTTATATCTACAAGCTTTAAAATTGTGTCTATTAATGATTCAGAGCTAGCGTATCCATAATAGGCATTCTTTTAAACACACATTGCCTTAAACTCAAATTTAGTCAAACCCCCCGCCTCACGGGCTAAGTGCTGCAAAATTAGTCTGAAGATAAGTCTAACATACATCTATGACATGTTTTATAAGAATATACAGGGTGATCCAACTAACGTAAGACACTCATTTTCTCGGAAAATATGAATATTTTTTTTTTCTATACTTTTAGGTACATATTTTACTACATTTTTCAATATTTAGAATATTTTGGTTTTTTAAATGGGAACGTATGTTTTTAATTTCATAAATCTGTAGACAAAATTGTTCAAAAAAATTTTAGCGTTTGAATTTCTAATTTTCATCAATCGGATTTCTACTTATTACGTTGTAAAGATTTAAAATTTTGATTCATATTTATTTGGGATTTCAAAACAGGTAGCATATTAAACACTGTTAAATAATATCATCGACCCCGTCGTCTGTCGATAAAACCGATAATCAGATAATAGTAATACTTCTTACTTTTTTTTTTTATAATATATGGAGATGCGGTTCTTTACCTACTGTCGGAAACCGCGACACCGTATACATATCTGGTCAATTGTTCACATATCTTATCAGTAGACAACACTTACGACGAAATTTTTTTCTTACCTAACCTACCCATATTTTCACGGTTTGATTATTATATATTATCATGCCCAAAAAAAGTGCGTGCAACCTGCTGCCGGCAACGTGACTTGCGTTGTGTATTTAGAACCCGGAAATGTGTTTTGTTAATACATTTAACTATTTAAGTAGTGTCAATTGTGTTTATTTATTCCCTGATTGTGACTACATTTAATATTGCTCTACAATGTAAGATGAAAACAAATAAACATATTGATTTCATAAGCAAAAACTTGTTTCTACTAGTAATAGTAAACATTTTGTAAGTATATTCAGTTTTCGAAAAAAACAAAAATAAAACTATACAAAAATGATAAAAAAAAAAAATTATTTATAAAACGTATTAATATGTAACTTAAGTTGAAAGATCCAAATATCTGTTTGGAACATGAAAATATGAGTCGGTCTAACACGTACTTTAGGTACATTCGCTATGAATGTATACATAATAATATGTACTGTATTTTTTATACCATGTGTATTATTTTGTGCCTAACATTTTATAAAATATATTATCGTAGTAGATTATCTGAACAGCTATGGCCTATGCCGTATCATAAAAAAAATTACTAAAAAATACTGAATATTGTACTTTAAAATATAGAAACATGATAAACAAAGCGTTAAGCTAATAAAAAAAAAAACAAAATGTGGTGTTTTGATGATTCCCGCCTTGATAAGGTCGGGGTATGGTGACGAAGGAGAACTTACAGTCATTAAGTGTTGTAACTAATAATGACGAAATGACTTTCAAAAAAACCTTTTTATGCGTATCTGTAGACAGTGAAGCATTTAGCGTGGGTGTAAGGGGGCACTTACAACGGGGGACGAGATTTAAAGGGACACTTTTTCTTTGCAACTTCTTATTAATTTATTACCGTTTAGTACGGACTGAAAACATCACACTTTTACATCCCTTGCCTTAAGATGATTGGTTATAATTAGTAAAAATTACTTAATGAATCCATTTTGTTTTTAATATATTAACAAAGACTTTAAATATATTTCAACCTAAATAATTGAATCTGCAAATGTTATTTATAACAGTCAATATAGCTAATAGAAAAAAGACCTTAGATAAATAGTTTTTGTGGAGTAATAACCTACTGACAATACTCTAGGCTTTAAGGAACATTTATAATTATTTCATCATATAATCATTTAAGTATTTTTTTTCGAATGTAATTGTTTTGAATTCAATAAGAATACTTAAAAACGGGGTTCGTTTATTTATACTTCAATCAAACAGTGATAGAATGTTGTAATTTTAGCGGATTCTAGTCAAGATTTTCAAACTTGCTGGGTATAATCAAAATAAAATTTAGTTCCAATAACAAAATGTGTTAAAATAATATTGTAAATTCCAATGACGCATTTTCAAAAAAATAATATTTACGTTTGCAAAATATGTGGTATTAAAAAAAACATTTTTTCTACTGTGAGCCGTTCAAACAATTCGTATTTTGCACAGTTCACCATATTTCGATTTTACACGATAACGTTTAAAGTTTAATATAAGTACAACGAAAAACCAAAAGACTTTTTCATCCGATAAGTTGGAACTTAGTTTAACAACCTATTCGAATTGGTTTGGTATCGCAATCGTGAAATCATTTTAAGTAAGTTATTCAATCTAACATGTTTACTCATGTTTGATTGAATAAAACATTCCCTTTGATTTTAATTTTAATTTTTCAAGTTATTATTATTACAATAATTTATAAACTAATATTTTATAAAAAATGTTAATAAAAACCAAAGGCTATAAGACATTATACTAATAATTATCAATGGGCCGAACATTTTTCGAGGATAAATTCACATTAAAATATTTATATTTTAATAAAAAATGTTTTTGAAAAGTTGTCTTTCTTTTTTAAAAGTGTTAATACTATTTTTTGAGTTACTCGCTTAAATTAATAAAATCTTTTTTTCCTAAAATATAATAATACCTTGGTCCAAAAATTTTGGTTTAAACAATTTATTTTTTACTTTTGAACAATTTTTGTTTATGGGGTAATATTAAAACGTCACTAGTAAATTGCCCATGTTGTTCTCATTATTTAAGTTAATCTCAATTATTGTATTCAAATATTGTGTTTCATATTTTTTGACATTAGAAAATAATGTAAAAAAAGTCAATAATTATTACTATCAAACCTCAGTATGACATTCACTATAAAAAATGTTTTAGTTACAATTATTATTACCATAATTTAAAAATTACTGTTTTGATAAAATTATATAATAATAACCAAAGTCCTTATAATAGTGTACTAACAATTATTAATGGACTAAATATTTTTCTGAAAAAATTCAAATTTAAAAAAGAAATGTCTTAATAAATACATTTTTTGTAAGTTACTCGCTTAAACTAATAAAATCTTTTTTTTCTAAAATAAAACAATAACTGGGTCCAAAAAATTTGGTTTAAACAATTTCTTTTTAAGTTTGAACAACTTTTTTTATAGGGTAATATTAAAACGTCACTAGTAAATTGCCCATGTTGTTCTCATTATTTAAGTTAATCTCAATTCCTCGTTAATTTCTTAAACGACATTTTTTCTTTGGTTAATGGTTAAAATTTGAATGTAATAGTTATAAATGTTTACGAAAGGACAATTTTATTAAATAATATTGTATATTCAATATACAAAATAGATATTCGCTATAATTATTGGAACGTCGGGGCTCTACGGTTGTGCAAAACATTAGTTCAAACGTTTGAATAGTGGCCCAAACAAACGACATAACCAAACACTTTACAGAGCAGCTGTCATATTGGAACAATTGTTTTAGATAAAAAACAATAATAAAACTATACAAACATGTTGGGAAAACACTTTTATAAAACGTAATTAAGTGTATCGAGAGCATTTGTGTAAGCAGATGATCTTACTTACACATTTGTCGAATGATCCAAGTATCTGTTTGAAATATGAAAACATGAATCGCTGTAATACATACTATGTGTACGTTCTCTATGAATGTATACAAAATAATTTTTCTTAAATTTTTGCAATATTCATTTTATAATGTACAATGTGTATTAATTTGTGTGTAACATTTTGTAGAATTTATTATCGTAAACGATTATTTAAGGAACTATGGCCTATGCATCATAAAAAATTATGAAAATCGACTAAAAATCCAGAATATTTTACTTTAAAATGTATACATTTTTTAATCTAATATTACATAAAACCAAATATTTTTTAATTAATAATTATTAAGTTATGAGGCTACTGTGTTTGGTAAGTGTTGTGCTATAGACTTATTTACATAGAAATTAATTTAGAATTTATAATCATTAAGAGTTTAGTGTTTTTTATAAGTCATTAAGGATCATAGTTGTCAAATGAATAAAAAATCCATTGGCAACTGTAACTGTAAGATAAATGTATTGTATTTTCTTTAGAAAAAAATGAAACATTTTTGTGTTTTGATGACATTAGTCTTTGGATATGTTTTGGCATTACACGAAGGTACGTATCACGAATTTCTGAAATACTTGAGGTTTAAATTAGTGATAGCAATCTAAAAATACAGATTTTTAAATAAATACTTTTTAAGCCACTTACGTTTATAGTATGCTGTGTAAGTAAAGTAATAAAAAAAACCGCCTTATTTTGACTATATGGGGCTTTCGGATTTTATGATTTTAACAAATCCAAATGCAGAAAGAAAATTTTCTTATTGATGTTGTGTTTTATTTTTACAATTTCATCGCAAATATTTAATATAGGTACGCAGATTTATATTTTATTATATTTATTAATTTTTTAAAACTCATGCGATCTTTAAGTAAATAGCACTATTAGTGAAAATCCCAATTTCCGATGTTCAATCAATAGTTAATATTACCTTTTTTTAATTTAATTTTAACTTCTGTTTAGATAACTTTAGACATCTCGTATACCATACAAGTCAGTATAACCAATAATTATTTATCTGTAAAATATATGTACAATATATCAATTAAGTTTTACCTATATTTTTACATCTCTTGTTTGCTTTTTAATCATAGACCATATGCTCAATCGTTTAAATGAAGGTAAAATATTTAATAAATTTATAAACAATGTATTTTTACGTTTTCTCTGACAATTGAATGTTGATTCAACAAAAAAGATTGAAATGAAAATTCTACTGTTTAAAATGTTTCAAAGGGTTGATTTTTTTGCTTATTTCACCTTTGCTTTTAGTTTTTGTTACTTAAAAAGTAATTTAAGGTACATTTTTACAATCGCGTCAATACAATCATTGGAACATTATTTTAAAATAACTTCTAGCACTTTTATTAAATACCTTACTAAATAAATATACACAATTAAAAAACATATTTCTTTCTAGAACATTTGCGCCATTTAATCACATTTTACATATTGGATGCTATGCATATTGGTAAGCATAATAATTGTATAATAACAGCTATATTTAAAGTTATTGAAGTTTCAAGTTTAGGGCAGGAGGAAAAGTGGAGTGTAGTATTATTTTTATCTACGCTTGTTTTCCAACCACACTTACCCTCCCACCATATCTTTTAAACACTTGTAACTTTAATCGACCAGTCAAAATTGTTTGTACATTATTATAAATTAAAAATGTAATGGAATTTATGCGTTACCATTTAAGTTAAAAAAGTTACTATCACAAAAACTAAGTTGGGAGGATGGTAAAAACAAAAAAAAATATAGTAAAAAATTGAGATCACATTGTAAAAAAACACTGAGTAAAGAAAAAATTCTTTACTCTTTAATTCTTTTTAAACTAAGTGACATATTGAGTGGTTAACGATAAGTTGATCACCTTTTATATAATTTTATTTTGTAAGATTACCCATGGCAGCCAACGTGTCAATTTTTCTATTATATTGATTTTTGTAAAAATTATTTTTCAAACATAAACCCGAAAACTCTTCGTTGTAAATTTAGCAGACACATCGTTTAATAGTGTTGCTCACTTTTCAAGACATTAAAAGATGCTATTCATATTTACTCAATGACTTATTATGAACAGCCAATCTCGTTTAACGATAAATTTTTATTAATTTCAGAGGCGGTGATTTCGCTTTTGGCCGCGCCAAGTATTAAGACTCAGACATTATAAATTATATATATTTTTTTAATTTATTTGTAACGAATAAGACCTATTTTTACTTTTAATAATCATATACGTTAATATTTCAGCGTTGGTTTTCAAGGATGGGAAAGGTGGGAATTATCCAGATGGTAAATATTTAATGTATAGTCAAAAACATAATATTACAGGGTGAATTAAAATTTGTGCTCTTACATTTATATCTGTGTGCGAAATAATTATGAAGTACAGTTGTTTATATCAAATTATTATTAAATTAAGTTAAAGGTATAAAATATCTATGTAATCATAATAGCAGGAATCAATATTCTTCAATGTTACTGAGTAAAAAACTTTTAAAATTGATTATGTTTTAAATTTCAGATCTGGAAACTAAAGAGAGACATATACTAGACCGTTTGCATTATCATGGTAAAAATGTGATTCGAATAAATTATAAAACCAACAAACGTTAGATTGGTAAAAAACCAGCTAGGTCTCCTGCAATTATTTAGAATTATATACTCTAAGGATAGTCTGTCGCCCATGCCCCTCTCCACAATTTAAACGCCTTTTTATAATTGTTAAATTTTAATTAAATGTTATTTATTTTAGCTAATCACGCACCTGGTGAAGATAATAGAAGTAATATATACAAATTAACTCAAAATAAACTTTTTTCTATTTTCGTCTACATCAATGGTTCTGTGTACGATTTATCATTTATAGAGTGAATATATACACACAAAGTGTCGGTCCACGGTTATCTTATAGATCCAATTGCACAATTTGATTAACTATATTTCAAACTAAAATATCTTCTCATCGATACTCAAACTGTCAAAAAATTAAATTAAACATTTCCGAATGTCTCGTAATTATTTACACGTTATTATGTTTTATAATTGCAGTCACGGATTACAATACATTGGATAGAATGGGGATAGACAGAAGAAATAGAATTAAGGGATCTGTATTATTTTTACTCCGGTCAATCGAAGGTACGTTTGACCCAGATGGTGACGATAAGTAAAATATTATGATTCAAGCAAAAAAGCGAGCTTCAGTGTGATCAGAATGATGAAACTACATTTGTCTGGTACTAATTGTTAATTTGTTTCAGTACTGAAACCTTGTAATAAAAAAAATAAACACGTCAAATGTCATATTATTGTAAGATCTGTATAGGTTAAAAAGATGAAGACTGTGCAGTTTTTCACACTTTGTAATAAAAATATATATTTTTATTCAAATTGGTCACAATGTCGCCTCGCCTCCTTGCTTAATTAGTCGTCGTGAACATGACAATATATTACGATGTTACAGCTCTATATAATTTAAAAAATTATGTTTTTAAAGATCTATCCAATCATTTTGATGTTGAGCAGAAATGTCGTTTAGTAGCGTTGTTTGTAAATGTAGAAGATCCAAGCATACTCATATTTCATAGCTATTCCAAACCATTCAAAGGACACGATTACTGTCGTCTTAAACATTATATATCTGACGACAAGAATCAGGTACGGCACACTGAGTACAGAATGTGGGAGGATGGCTACTATGAAGTAATTGACCATCATACAAAAGGGCGCAAACTCATCCCTAAACGGCACGCTGGAAAAAAGAGTGGCCGCTAAATTACTTAAAGAGACCTTGCAGATATACACATTTCTTAAAATTTCTTTAATATGCTATATACAATTTACATAATAAATTATCTTGGAACCATTTAAAATAAGTGTTATTTTTGTTGTGTTCTAATATCAGAGTACAGTTGAAGAGACTCTGCATTATGATAATACATGACGTATAGTATATAGTACATGATAACTTCACAACTTAAACAAAAAAAAGGAATTATTTTTATTTGAAGTGGTCATATACTGTCACTCGCCTTCTTGATTACTCCGTTGCTGAGTACAAGGACTTATTACGTTAGTTTATAAGATATGGTAGTAATAGTTATTTAAACAGTATAAAAAAAAACGTATAATGAATATGTTACTCAAGTTTGTTAGTAAAACTTAGCGAAAAAGAGTATAAGCAATTTTTTTACATCGTTTAGCTTTATAGAAAGCTGAGTTATTCAATGACTTCTTTTACCTATTTATCATCTGTTTTTTATATCCACCTCAACTACTATAGATCATAGGCCAATAACCTAGTTTTTGAAGCCTGATAAATTCAATATCTTATACCTGCAAGCTTTAATAGCGTGCCTATTAATGATTCAGAGCTAGCATATCCAAAATTGGCATGAAAAACGAGTTTAGAAATTGGATAATTGCAAGTCACATTATTACAGAATATTATACAGATGTATTTTTTTTTTGTCTCAAGTCATGGTAACTTTTTTTCCATTAGACCGATTCGCTACTCAAGTAGTATCTCATAGATCGAAAATCATAAGTGATTGATACATCGCGAAAAACGGTCAGATCCAGAATATTGGTTAGGCATGCTTCTATACTCACATCGCCTCGAATTCAAATTTCGGCCAACGATGGTACTATCAAGCAGGTAAATTTAAACGTTCAAAAACATTAATAATAAAACAAGATATTATGACCAAAAAACGACTTATTTAAAATTAAAAAAATTTTCGACTGTTAAAATTGTATTTGTAAAACACCTTGAAAAATATTCGATGACAACAGTTGTTTGTCTTATGATTACACATGATCAAACGATACGAAATGTACTTTCGGTTTTTGTACACATAAATTAACAACAATTAAAAATTATTCGAAAAAAGAAAAACCAGAAGAAATTGAAAACTATTTCTGGGAGTTATTATCAACAATAGTAATGATAATATCAATAAATTTATACATGAACATGTTTTATCTATAAAAAATAAATTTGGTATTATTTAGTTGTAACAGCTTGTTAGAAAATCCCCGTTAATTTCTTAAACGACTTTTGTAAATAAAAAAAACTCTCTGGTTAATGGTTAAAAATTAAATTTATCTATTACACATGTTTCCAAATTTTATTTTAAAAATTGAAATTGTATAAAATGTTCAAACGTGTTTTATGCGTACATTTTTTTTTTTACAATTATGACTTTTATTGAAAAACATACAATCTGTAAATTATATTTTACAATGAGTATTTTTATAAACTATACACAATAAACTATACCTATGATAAACATGAGGAGGAAACCCCACATTAGGGGCACCTCAAATTTATGCGTACTAGGAATAAGATTCAAATGTGTTTTCAGATTACTCATCAGATCACTAGTTCAGCCTGTGCGATGGACAAAAAATGTACTATTTTATCAACTAAAATGGTTTTTGTTCACGGTAAATTAATTGTCCTGGTCGAAATTCATTAAAACCACTTTTTTCTTGACTATTACTTATAGAAACCTTCTTAAAAATGGTTACTCTAGGTGATATTTTATTTTATTTTGGTAATATTCCTTTGTGTATACTGTGTGTATTGTTCTGTGCATAACATTTTATAAAACATTATCGTACACGATTGCTTTAGCACATTTTAAACTAAGCGTTAAGCTAATATGAAAAAATACAAAATGTGCTTTTATGATTCACGCCTAAAATATTATAAAATGACAGTATAGTGGGGTCGGGGAATAATGGGAAAGGAAATCTCACAGGTAGTGTACTTTATGTAGGTACTGTACCTAACTAAAAATGATGAAATAACTTTAAAACAAAAGGTTTTGAATCTGTAGACAGGAAACTGACAGTGGTGCAATTAGCGGGGGTGTAAGCAATTATTTTTTACTGTTTAGTACAGGCACCACAATTTGTATTTCACCTATCTGCTTTACTTTTTTAAATCACTTATTTTGTTAAGCATAATTTGCTGAAAATTTTGACTGATCGATTACCAGTTTTGGATAGTTACTTTATATGTTTTTTAAGCTTCGGATTTAAGACGGGTGGTGGAGCAATGCTCCAACGTTGTTGACCAAAAACCATTATGTTTATTGCCTTATTCAAACGCCTTCAATTTGTACATTAGGATTTAATATTATTGTATTAAATTATCCCAATTTAAATATTTATTTGTATAGAAACTACAATTTTTTTAACTGCGACAAATTAAAGAATGAAGACGAGTTAAATTAATAAATAAACAGGTCAGAAAATAAGAACACAATAATAAAATATGTGTTAACTAGATTACAGGACATTCGGGAAAACAGGTCAGATCCAGTAGAAATGTTTAATGCATATTGGTTAGGCATACTTTTATTCACACATTGCCTTAAACTCAAATTTTGACGACCCTCCACCTCACAGGCTTTAGAGCTGGAAATTAGCCTGAAAGAATCATAAAGAAATGAAGAACTCCTTCTGGGAGTTTTTTTATTAAAAATTCTCTGGTTAATCGTTAAATATTAAATGTAATTATAATAAGTGTTTGTTTTATTGTATGTTTACATAAGGACAATTGAATAGAATATTATTGTACCTATCTTAAATGTATAAAACAGCTATTCGCTATAATTATTGGAACGTCGGTGTTCTACGGTCATGCCAGACATTAGTTCAAACATTTGAATAGTTGCCCAAACAAACGACCAAACCAAAAACGTTTTATAGCATCTGTCGTATTGGAAAAATTGTTTTCAGTAAAAAACAATAACAAAACTATAAACAAATATTGATATAACACTTTATAAAATGAACCGTTAGCATTTGTGTAAACGGAAGATTTTCCTTAAGTTGCAATAGTCTAAATATCTGTTTGAAACCTGCAAATATGAGTCGTTCTTATCTATTCAATGTGTAAATTCGCTTTGAATATATACATAATAATATTTACTGTATTTTATATACTATGTGTATTATTTTGTGCGTAACATTTTATAAAACATACTATCGTAAACAATTGTTTGAACATAATATACATATAGATACTAGATAGATAAGTATTAACAAAGACTTTAGTCTATTTAAACCTAAATAATAGAATCTGTAAATATTATTTTATAATAATTAATATAACCAATAGAGAAACGACCATAAATATCTTGTGTGGAGTAATAACCTACTAACGATACTCCACGTTTCGTGGAACAATTATAATTACAGTATACTGCAATTCGTCTGTAATTGTTTTGAATTCAGTAAAAATACTTCCAAACGGGTATTGTTTACTTCATTCAAACAATGATATTTTGTAATTTTTTATTCAAGATGTTCAAACTTGTTGTGTATAATCAAAATAAAATTTGGTTCCAATAACAAAATGTGTTCAAACAATAGTAGTAAATTCGCATGACGCATTTTCAATAAAACATATTTACGTTTGCACAATATGTGGTATAAAACAAAACATTTGTTCTGCTGCAAACCGTTCAAACATTTCATAAATTCCATAGTTTACCATATTTCGATTTTACATTATAAGGTTTAAAATTTAATATAAGTACAATGAAATGACAGAAAGACATCCACAACCGATAAGTTGGAACTTAGTTTAACAACCTATTCAAATTGGTTTGGTTTCGCAAGAGTAAAATCATTTTCAGTAAGTTGGTATTTATTTTTATTTTTCAAGTAATTATTATTACAATAATTTATAAACTAATATTTTATAAAAATTTTAATAAAAACCAAAGGCTATAAGACATTATACTAATAATTATCAATGGGCCGAACATTTTTCGGGGATAAATTCACATTAAAATATTTATATTTTAATAAAAAATGTTTTTGAAAAGTTGTCTTTCTTTTTAAAAGTGTTAATACTATTTTTGAGTTGTTCGCTTAAACTAATAAAATCTTTTTTTTCTAAAATAAAACAATAACTGGGTCCAAAAAATTTGGTTTAAACAATTTATTTTTAAGTTTGAACAACTTTTTTTTATAGGGTAATATTAAAACGTCACTAGTAAATTGCCCATGTTGTTCTCATTATTTAAGTTAATCTCAATTCCTCGTTAATTTCTTAAACGACATTTTTTCTTTGGTTAATGGTTAAAATTTGAATGTAATAGTTATAAATGTTTACGAAAGGACAATTTTATAGAATAATATTGTATATTCAATATACAAAATAAATATTCGCTATAATTATTGGAACGTCGGAGCTCTACGGTTGTGCAAAACATTAGTTCAAACATTTGAATAGTGGCCCAAACAAACGACATAACCAAACACCTTACAGAGCAGCTGTCATATTGGAACACTTGTTTTAAATAAAAAACAATAGTAAAACTATACAAACATATTGGGAAAACACTTTTATAAAACGTAATTAAGTGTATCGAGAGCATTTGTGTAAGCAGATGATCTTACTTACACATTTGTCGAATGATCCAAGTATCTGTTTGAAATATGAAAACATGAATCGCTGTAATACATACTATGTGTACGTTCTCTATGAATGTATACAAAATAATTTTTCTTAAATTTTTGCAATATGCATTTTATAATACGCAATGTGTATTAATTTGTGTGTAACATTTTGTAGAACTTATTATCGTAAACGATTATTTAAGGAGCTATGGCCTATGCATCATAAAAAAATTTGAAAATCGACAAAAAAATACTGAATATTATACTTTAAAATGTATAAACATTTTAATATAATATTACATAAAACCAAATATTTATTAATTAATTAATATTAAGTTATGAGGCTACTGTGTTTTGTAAATGTTGTGTTATAGACTTATTTACATAGAAATTAATTTAGAATTCATAATCATTAAAAGTTTAGTGTTTGTATTAGTCATTAAGGATCATAGTTGTCAAATGAATAAAAAATCCATTGGCAACTGTAACTGTATGATAAATTTATTGTATTTTCTTCAGGAAAATATGAAACATTTTTGTGTTTTGATGACATTAGTCTTTGGATATGTTTTGGCATTACATGAAGGTACCGTATCACGAATTTCTGAAATTCTTGAGGTTTAAATAAGTGATAGCAGTCCAAAAATACAGATTTTTAAATAAATACTTTTTAAGCCACTTACTCTTATAGTATAAAGCTGTGTCTTTAAGTAAAGTAATAAAAAAAACGCTTAATATTGACTATATGTTGCATTTGGATTTTGAATTACGGATTTTATGATTTTAACAAATCCAAATTCAGAAAGAAAATTTTCTTATTGATGTTGTGTTTTATTTTTACATTTTCATCGCAAATATTTAATATGGGTACGCAGATTTATATTTGATTAATATTTAATAATTTTTTAAAACACATGCGATCTTTAAGTAAATAGCACTATTAGTGAAAATCCCAATTTCCGGATTCAATCAATAGTTTAAATTATCTTTTTTTATTTTATTTTAACTTCTGTTTAGATGACTTAAAACATCTCGTATACCATACAAGTCAGTATAACCAATAATTATTTATCTGTAAAATATATTTACAATATGTCAATATAGTCTTACCTAGTTTTTTACATCTTTTGTTTGCTTTTTAATCATAGACTATGTACTCAATCAATTAAACGAAGGTAAAATATTTAATAAATTTATAAACAATGTATTTTTTACGTTTTCTCTGACAATTAAATGTTGATTCACAAAAACTAATAAAATGAAAATTCTACATGTTGATATTGAAATTTTACTGAGTAAAATGTTTCAAATATTTTTGTTCCCTTTACAGTTGGGGTTGATTTTTTTTTCTCATTTCACCTTTGCTCGTAGTTTTTAGACCTAAAATGTAATAATTTAAGGTACATTAATTACAATCATTGGAACATTATTTTGTAACGTAACAAAAGAGCTCTAACCTTACTATATAAATATACATAATTTAAAAACACGTGTCTTTCTAGAGCAATTGAGGGATGTAGTCACATCTTGTTTACTTGGATCTATGAGTATTGGTAAGCATATCAATTCTTATAATAGTAAATGCTCTGCCAATGACTAAATGAATACATTTTTTTAAAACTTTTTGTTAATTTCGAAAACTTTTCTACATTAGGCACTTAGAAACTTGCTATCTCTATAACTATACAAGGCTGTTTAAACAGTATACTCAAATTTTTTCCGAGAGTTTTGGTTTAAAACAGAATTTGCAAACGTTTTAGAACTCGAAAATGGTCCTAGTCCCGCCACATCTCTGCTTGACTCAAAAGTAAAATATTCTTGCCTTCTTGATTACTCTGTAGCTTAATACATGGCATTATAAAAACACTTGTAATTTTAATCGACCCGTCTAATATGTTTGTACATTATTATAAATTAAAAATTTAATGAAATGTATGTGTTACCATTAAAGTTTCAAAAGTAACTATCAAAAAAACAAAGTGGGGAGGTGGGTATCATATTGTATAAAAACACTATGTAAAGTAAAAATTATATTTCTTATTGAACCCAGAGAGATATTGAGTGGTTCACGATAAGTTAATCACCTTGTGTATATTTTTACTATGTAAAAAGTACCCGTGGCAGCCAACGTGTTTCCAATATATTGATTTGTGTAAAATTTATTTTTTAAACATAAACCCGAAAATTCAAAGTTGTAAATTCAGCAGTCACGTCGTCTAATAGCGTTACTATTCAGGACATTAAATGATGTTACAGCTCTATATATAATATACCTATATATACTCTATGACTTGACTTTATTGACTCCTGTCTTAATCATAACAATGTCGAGTAAATAGTTAATCTCGTTTACCGATAAATTTTATAAATTTCAGAGAAGAAAATTTCGATTCTTGCCGCGCCAAGTATTATGCCTGACACATTATAAATTATAATTTTTAAAAAAATTATTTGTAACGAATAAGACCTATTTTTACTTTTAATAATTATATACGTCGATTTTTCAGTCACGATTTACGATGATGAAGAAGGTTGGGATTTTCCAGATAGTAAATATTTAATGTATACTTAGTCATAAAGTCCTTATAGGAATTGCATGTGGTCCGTTTTTAAGGAGTTTTGTGTAAAATCTAATATCCGATACCTACATAAACTAGTAAAGTTGTCAAAGTTGTATGCAAGAACTTGCATAGCATCATAGAAGTGATACAGAAGTTGTGTAGAGTTAACTAGTAAATGGTTATGGTGGGGGATTTTTAAAGAGGAAATCTACAGTGAGTGTGTTTAAAGTTTATTAAAATAATTGTAATGATACAATTTTCAAATACTTAAATATTACAGAGTGAGTTAAAATTTGTGCTCATACATCTGTACTTGTGTGTGAATATATTATGGAGTACACATGTTTATAAATTATTTTTAAGTTAAGCTTATGGTAATTAATATCTATGTAATCATAACAGCAGCAATCAATATTCTTCAATGTTACTGTAAATAAAAACTTTTAAATTTAATGTGTTTTAAATTTCAGGTCTGGAAGCTAACGAGAAAGATTTACAGCGCAGTATGAGTATTTATGGTAAAAATGTGATTCGAATAAATTATAAAACCAACAAACGTTAGATTGGAAAAACCAGCTAGGTCCTCTGCAATTGTTTAGAATTATATACTCTAAGGATACTATATCACTTATGTCCCTCTCCTCATCTTCAAACACTGATTTATAATTATTAATTTTTATTAATGTGTTATTTATTTAGGGAAAGATTCTCGTCGTCCAAGCATAAGTAATATATACAAATTAACTCAGTTATAAATCACTTATATTTTGCCGTTTCGATTGCGAAGAGAAATACTTGTTTCTATTTTTGTCTGCAGCAATGATTCTGTGTACGATTTATCATTTATAGAGTGAATATATATTAGGCAAAGTTTCGGTCCATGGTTATCATATAGATCCAAATGCACAAAAAACATAATTTATTTGAAAAAAAAACACATTGGAAACTAAGATGTCTTCTCATCGAAACTCGAACAGTCAAAAAATAAATTAAACATTTCCGAATGTCTCATCATTATTTACATGTTATTATGTTTTCTAATTGCAGTCTCGGAGCAGATTACATTGGCTGAACTGGGGATAGACAGAAGAAAAAGAATTAAGGGATCTGTATTAGGTTTACTCCAGGCAGTCGAAGGTATGTTTAACCCAGAGGGTCGCAAAAAGTAAAATATTATGATTCAAGCAAAAAAGCGAGTTTCAGTGTGATCAGAATGATGATACTACATTAATTGTCTAGTACTAATTGTTAATTTGCTTCACAACTGAACCTTGTGATAAAAAAATATATGACTTGTCAAATGTCATACTATCGTGTTATATTATATGGAATTCAAATTATTCTATTGATCTGTTTAGGTTAAAAAGATGAAGACTGTGCAGTTTTTCACACTTTGTAATAAAAATATATATTTTCATTCAAATCGGTCACACTGTCGCCTCGCCTCCTTGCTTAATTAGTCGTCGTGAACATGACATTATATTACGATGTTACAGCTCTATATAATGAAAAACAATTTGTTTTTAAAGATCAATCCCATCATTTTGGTTTGGAGCAGAGATGTCATTTAGTAGCTTTGTTCGTAACTATAGAAAATCCAAGCAGACACATATTTTATAGCCATTCCTCCACTTTCAAAGGAAACCATGGCTGTCGTTTTAAATATGAT